GTTTTTATTTTTCCCTCGTGAAGATTTCAGTTTGTTTTTCAATTGCCTATTACATGTTATGGGTCACATTAAAAGTGGAAAAAGTTATGAAACGATTTATGCTTGTGTCTTTTCTTTCACAAAAACCTGGCTTTGAAGAAGGGTGTGTAGACTTTTTATATCCACTGTATGTGATGTTACTTTTTAACATTTTCTCCTTACGCTGCACCAAAACCTAAGGACAAAATGAACTAAATAATTTTGGCAGACATGAAATTGTTTGTTTGTTTGAAAAAGAACACTTAGGTCTTTTCCTGAAGGTTTAAGTTGTAATTTGTGTCAACAACAAAAATAGCCTACATCCATTCATCTATACATCAAACCCTGTGATCTTTACTGTACGTATATCACAGTCTACTTTGAGTTAAATACTGTTCAGTGTACAATACAGGGAAAAATAATACCCAGTGTAATATGTTCTGCTTTTGTGTCTAAACAATACCTCGCAAGCAGATGACATCATTCTGTTTCATGTCTTTAAGCATACAGTATCTAAAATTTTACATTGGTATTTATACTATACTGTGTACACAATTATTAGGGAAATTGTATTTTTGAGGATTAATTTTGTTATTGTACAACTACAGTGCTCTTGGTCAATCCAAAATGTTAACAAATCCTCAAACCTGAACATTTAAGTAGTAAAAGTTTTGGCTTTCTTAACCCTTGTAAGGTCCTTTGGGTCGGATCATTATAAAACTTCATATTCTTGGTTCCCAATATGTCTTTGTGTGTGTGTGTGTGTGCATGTGCGCCTGTTTCTGTTCCTGTACTGCATGACTAGTGCCAACTTTTCCTCATATTCATTAATACTCATATTCTGGGACAAGATGAAAATCATTGCAAGGACAAATGGTGTGTACAAAAATGCAAACGACCGCACAAGGGCTGAGAGAATATCTACATGTACACCATTATTAGTTACTATTAGTGTGCAGAATTATTATGCAACTAAATGAAAAACAAAGATTTTCCCATCTCACTTGTTTATTTTCACTGCTTGAAGAAAGTGTCTTCTACAAATTGGAAGTAGGTCTGAGAGTTGATTTTGAGTCCATTTTCAACCTGAAAAGGTCCAACTAGTTCATCTTTAATAATACCTGCCCATACCAGTACCCCACCTCCACCTTGCTAGCGTCTGAGTCGAAGTGGAGCTCTGTGTCCGTTACTGATCCAACCACGGGCCCATCCATCTGGTCCGTCAAGAGTCACTCTCATCTCATCAGTCCACAAAAACAGATATTTCTTGGCCCATTCTTGACGTTTCAACCTATGTGTCTTGTTCAGAGGTGGTCAGGTTTCAGCCTTTCTTACCTTGGCCATGTCTCTGAGAACTGAACACCTCGTACTTCTTGACACACCAGGGCAACCTACCTGGAGTTGTGGAATATGGCAGAACTGGAGGATAATGGGTTCCTGGTAGCTTCATGTTTGATTCTTCTCAAATCTTTGGCGGTAAATTTGCGTCTTTTCTTCTCGACACATTTCTTGCGACCCTGTTGACTATTTGCAACAAAATGTTTGATGGTTCTGTGATCGCGCACCAATATCTTAGATATTTCAAGAGTACTGCATCCCTCTGAAAAACTTTTTACAATTTTGACTTTTCAGAGTTAGTTAAATCTCTTTTTTGGCCCATTTTTCCTGAGGAGAAGAATCTGCCTAATAATATACACACCTTGATATAGGATGTTCATCTCCTTAGGCCACACCCTCCTTCGTTACACAAATACACCTGATATACATTAAATCCAATAAGCATTCAAGTTTATACAACTTGTATAAACTTGAATGGAAATGGTTGGAAATTATGGATAAAATTATATGGTCAAAATACTCACTTGCCTAATAATTGTTCACACAGTGTATTTGTACTTTAATATCTTATTTTAATGTCTATATTTTTTGGTATGGTCTATTGTACCTCAGCACTGAACAGCTTATTACGTATATTTTTATATATCTAATCTATTCTACTGCCTAATCCCAGGTTGTGTTGTCATACGGGCATACAGTGTAAAACCTCTGAGCTGAAAGTGATTCTTCTAATTTGAAAAATCCTGACAGTTTTACACAAATTTCTTCATGCCCAGGTTTAATGTTGTCGTTTGTTTTTTATTATTATTATTAAAGAGTTTTTAAAAAGAAAACTAGTTAGAGATGTGTTCAAAGATCCTAGAATAACAGCTAACACACTAACAGTAAATCAACCATTTTGTCAATTCTTATCTTTAAAAACAGTAACATCCAGTCAAGATAACACTACACACACACAAACCTTTAAAATTTTGAAGACTCTCCACCTCCACCACGTCTTCCTCCTCAGCAGGATGTGACTGGTGGACTCTGAGTATGGAAGAAGTAGCCTGTACTCTGATTGTAAAACAACAAGACACATATGTAGGATTTAAGGGTTTAAGAGTGTATGATAAAAATAAAAATGAACACATGAACATGAACTGTCCTGCTGGATGGATGCAGGATTTAGACAAGGAACATCATCAGACAAGTCAGAGGAGTGTAACAAGAACATCGAAAAAGTACTAATGTTTGTCAATACATTTTTTAAATATTTGTATTTGTGGTAAGACTAACCTGGAATTTGAGGCTCATTTGGAAAATCTGAGCTCACTGAATACTTCTGCCGGTTGTAGATGTAAGCACTGATGATAACAGTCAACACATAGACCACATACAGGCTCAGGTAGCCTGAAAGACAAGTGGGTAAACAGATGACATGGTTTGTGTAAATACTGTATATGAGCAGCACATTCAAGTTCATGACAGTGAGGTCAAACATACAACATGCTGCTGTGATCAATGTTAGCATTGTTACTCTTTCTATACTGCTTTGTTAGTGTGACTCCCTCCCAAGCATGTGCAGACGCAAGTGATTTCTTCAACGGGTTTATTGAAGTCTCTGTCCTCTCCACAACCATCCAAAGACCTCCGCAAACCGTGAAACTAGCCATACACAGTATTACAGTTCACATTAGCACACTCAATATTCTGTACAAGATTCATAACGAAAAATAAAGACAAATAAATACCTCGTTGGCTGCATGCTATGAAAGGAAATCTGTAGATCTTCTATCTTCAGTCTTCACCATATAACTTAGCCATTCATAATAAAAACATGCAAAAATTAC